TACGGGGACATTTGTCGCTCCCCACTAGCTGTTGACATAGGAAGGTGATATTTATTTTTGTTTTTCATGTCCTCTTAATAGACCATGGGAGACGGCCGTGGGGCATAGCAGACGAATTCTCTATCATGTGTGCTGTGCAGGGGATATGAAGTTGGAACGCATTCCCCACACTGCATCATTGGGAAATTGAGAAGTCAGTGAAATTGTTGGTTATGTGTTATGTTTTAGATAATGTTTTGTTGAACAATGTTATACTTATCGCAGGAATATTTGCATACTCTTTCTGTACGTCCGATCTGCTCCTGAAGGGGGCGGTTATGTGCTGCTGTGTCTCCATAGATATTTTTTTCGGCTCAGGGTTCCTCACGTATACTCACTGTGTATCCTCTATCCTCCGACCAAACTATTTTAAGCCATTTAAGCCATCATCTCAAAATAGCCAAATATCTGAAAACGTTCTATGAAAGTTATTTCCTGGAACGTTAAAGGACTGCGTTCCCCTCAGAAGCGCAATATGGTGCTTTGCCACCTGAAGCGCCTGAAGGCGGATGTAGCATTATTGCAAGAGACGCATTTACAGGAGGGAGACTTGGCACGCCTTCGTAAACTCTGGGTGGGTGAAGTAGTGGGATCCCCTTCAGATGGTCGCAAGGCAGGGGTGGCGATCCTTTTTCATAAGAATCTTCAATACTCGATTTCGGGCATAGAGGGGGATGAGGAAGGTAGACTTCTTACGGTGACCCTGGCCATGGGCACATACACCTTGGCTATAACTAATGTATACTTCCAAAATTCGCCATCTGGAGCTGACTTCCAACACCTGACAAAGTGGCTCTCAAAAACTACTACGCCTCTACACCTGATAGGGGGCGATTTCAATGCCACGGTGTCGCTGGTGGAAGACCGGAGCTGGATTGCAGGTCCCATGCCCAAAACCAGACGCCATGAGCTCACTCGACAATCTAGGCTGGCCACTATGCTCGAAGCTCTCCATCTACAAGATATTTGGCGCATGGCTCACCCCCTGGACAATGAGTTCACTCACATGTCCTTAGTTCATGATAGCATGGTGCGCCTAGACTATTTATTTTGCTCATCGGACCTATTGCCCCGAGCCACTGAATCAGAAATACATGACATAGTAATCTCGGATCATGCACCCATCTCGCTCTCGATTCACGATGCCCCGCGAGTTACTAATGCACGCATGTGGCGTTTTCCCTCTTATCTAAGTTCACAGGACAACTTCCGCCAATTCCTGATTTCCTCATGGAGAGATTACTCATCCTACAAGAACCAACATGTATCCCAGCCAACCCTATTCTGGGAAACAGCAAAGGCTTACATGAGGGGGAAAATAATGGCCTATGTAGCGGCTTACAAAAAACGCACTATGCAAGGTTACATGACAGCGAGTATAGCGCTGCGCGAGGCGAGACGGGTGCTAGTATCGGATGCCTCTGCCCTAAACCGTACGGCATGGACAAATGCCAAGACGCAATTCGATTTGTGGGCACATAGCCAGGAGCAATCCAGCTCCTCCCATTACGCACTGCAGCTCCACAAGTTTGGAAATAAAGCGGGCAAACTCTTAGCCAGACTGGCGAAGGGCCGCTTTCGTCCCACTCACATCCCCAGCCTCCAACAGCTGACAGGTATCTTGACTCAGGACCCGTTACAAATAAATAAAATACTGGAAAATTTTGATAGAACCCTTTATTCTGCGGACACATTTGACAATGCGGCGGCAGACCGCTTCCTGTCCTCAGTGAAATTACCAAGCCTATCCCAGGACCAACTGCATTGTATGAATGCAGACATATCTCAGGAGGAAATAGCCTCGGTCATCAAAGGCCTAGGCGCGGGCAAGGCCCTGGGGCCTGATGGGTATACAGCAGAGTTCTTTAAAATCCTACAGACGGAGATTGTGGATCCTCTACACTCCATGTACTCTTCGGTGTGGGGAGGCTCCATGTATCCGGTGACGGGAAAAGAGGCATACATAAAACTGCTACCCAAGGAGGGAAAAGATCCTACGGATCCCAGCTCGTATAGACCTATATCGCTTCTAAACATAGATGCCAAGATCCTCTCTAAAATAGTGGCAAACAGACTGGCTGATATCCTACCAACCCTGATTCAGCCATCGCAGGTGGGCTTAGTCAAAGGTCGCTCGGGAGTGACAAACATAGTACGTAAAGTACTTGTGGCACTGGAGCAGGCCCGTTCTAACCCATTATTGGAGTCTGCCATCATCACCCTTGACGCCGAGAAAGCGTTTGACAATGTACACCTGAGATGGTTATTCAGGGTACTGACAGAATTTGGCTTTAGGGGAAGATTAGTCACCTTCTTTGAACAAATGTACACCTCCCCGATTGCAAGGATACTGACCCAGGCGGCATTGTCAAGCCCTTTTATCTTGGAAAAGGGAACAAGACAGGGCTGCCCTCTGTCCCCCCTACTGTTCAACCTATCCCTAGAACCGCTAGCAGCTCACATCACGCACTCAGACGCTTTCCATGGGATTAAGGTGGGCAAAGTGGAGCTTCGATTGGCAATGTTTGCTGATGATGTCCTGCTGTTCACTTCCCGCCCAAATGAAGACGTCTTAGCCACTAGAACTCTGTTAGACCACTTTAAAACATTCTCAGGACTCCGGATAAACTTCCTGAAAAGCGAAATCCTCCCCCTGTCAGGGACAATTTGGATAGATGGACAGGGAGTCATGAGGGTGGCACAGCAGCACATAACTTATCTGGGTATAAAGGTGGGAAAGACTCCTTCTTCTCTTTACCGTCTCAACTACCCCCCACTCATACAAAAAATTTGCAAGGAACTGGACATGTGGAGGGACCTTCCCTTATCACTCTTCGGGAGAATTCACCTCATTAAAATGATGAGTTTTGCAAGGTTGTTATACCCCCTGCAAACTCTCCCCTTACTGTTAAAGACTACCGATATCTCGTGCCTAAACAAAGCCATGTTGACGTTCATTTGGCAAGCGAAAAGGCCGAGAATTTCTTTCAAGAAACTCTGGCTCCCGAAGGGTGAGGGGGGAACGAACCTCCCGAATATCAAATTATACAATATGGCTTGTTTACTCCGTCATGCACTAGACTGGTTATCCGGAAGTGAAGTTTATTCGAATACCAAGCTGGAGACGGAGTTAATCAACCCATGGGATCTTAGGGCGGTACTCCACTGCAAACTCTCCTCCCTACCCCAGCGCATTCGACACATTTCTCTGATTAGGGACACAATTACTGTGTGGCGAGAGATTAGGAAAGCTCTTAAACTCCCTTTATGCGTGTCCTCACACTGTCCCATCATGGGGCACCCCTCATTTGTTCAAGGCTTAGATTACTCAGCATTCCACAAATGGAAGGAAAAGGGCCTCTATTACTGGAAACAATTATTTGATCCTCAAACATTCGGCCCTTACTCTTTCAAGGACCTGATACAACAATATCGTATCCCCCCCAGGACTTTCTACACTACCTACAGCTAAAGACCACATGGCGCAGTCTCAAGGGAACGCCGAGATCTTTTTTTTCATCATCATTTCTAGACGTACTTGTATCAAACAAATCGTATTCTATATCGGAGCTATACCCAAAACTACAGACACTATTTCTACCTCCCCTTTCAGGGTCAAGTGTGAAAGGATGGTCTAGAGACTTTGATGAACCAGATTTATTACCTAAAATCCTTGAGGGATATACCAAGACGAGATCACTAATTACTAACAAAATTTGGAGGGAGACCCAATTTAAAATCATACATCGAGCCTACGTACCTTACTTCATTCCAGCAACAACGTCCTCCTCACCGAGCCAACCAACATCCATATGTCCTAAATGTGGAATCCAACGCCCGACCTTACATCATTGCTTCTGGGGTGTCCAGAGATATCAAACTTTTGGAACCAAGTTCTTGTATATGTCAATACTATTGTTTCATGGAAACCAGAACTGGAGTACTCATTGTGTCTCTTTGGTTACCTGGACCTTTCTGCCAACCATCGAGCTCAGACCAAATATAAAGGGTTGGATTGGATGCACATCTGTCTCCTGGTGGCTAGGAGATGCCTCATGAGACACTGGAACGCCCCATCAGCCCCCAAGGTTCAGGAAATCATCAAGGACTTGACGGCATTAATGGCCAAGGAAAGACTAGAGGCCGAAATGCACAAAGATAAACAGGCCTCATCCTTCTTCAAGAGATGGAAACATTTAATTGTGAAAACTTTAACGGTAATGGAAATAACCCAACTGGTCAAGCCCTTTAGATATACTAAATGGTATTTAGAAGCAGATGTGTCGAATGTTCTGGGGAGTTTGCGGCTGGCGCAGGATTAGCTTACCCACTAACGGCAAGAGTCTCGGTCTAGCTTCAGCTCCTAATAGAGCCGGTAACTCCACAGGGTTTGGGCCTGATATGCAGTTGTTTGACAGGGGAACGGACAGCACAGGTACTCGAAAGCATCTTACTTGTATGATGTATAATAGATACGGACATGCACACTTATGTAACCTGCTGAAAGTATGTTTGTTTCATTTTCTTTTGAAGTTTTATATGAAAAAATCAAATAAAATTTGTTTGAAAAAAAAAATGTAAATACTCACAAATGCATGATTTAAAACGCCTTGAAATACATAAACGTCTGCTGCAATGCTACCAAAAGCAATTAGGCCAATCCACTCCCTGCATAGCTGACTGCAGCCACCGGTCACAACTGTCCTAATGTCTAATTAGAAGTTGCAGGTAGGGTTGTAAAAGCACACGTCAAAATAAAGTTTAGATCTGGTTACAAGCGGGTTCAAAAGTGTGTTGAGGGTTGCAAGTCATGGGTACAGGTCATATGCAAATCTACAGACACAGACTCATACAGATATCTAGATTAAAGTGCAAGTGGTTTCATTTAAATATTTTCGCAAATTTGGGTCACCTCTTTCCTCCATCATGTAAAATGCTTTCTACAATTTGTTTTTGTACAGGATGAAAAGTTACAGATATTGACAACGTTGATGGACTTTGAAATGGTAAGAGGATGGTAACTGTTGAAGGACATTTATTCAGTATGAAAACAGCTTGAAGGAATGAACTGACATTTGTGATGGAAAGGATATACCAATGACACTCCAATTCATAGTAAAGAGCCTTTCCTCCTCCAAACTGACCTAAACAGGTTGTTCTGCTCTGTTCTGCATGCGGAAAATGTGAAAATTCACCTTGTGCTACATGAAATGCATCACCAGAGACATCTTCACTAGCTGATACGGCAAGCAAGGGTCCCAGTGTAAAACCTAACACCTGCCTCATGCTGGCCATGCAATTTTAGTGCTCATTCACACAGGGATGCACATCCATAGAGCATTCACACCAGTACAGAGACCTGCTCCTGGAAGAGACAGGTGCAGCATGTAATTGCATGCAGCCACCTGTACATCCCTATGGGAGAATGCGGCTGCACGCAGGTACATGCTGACCTGAACCTTCACTTCTGTGCACTCCACATGCACACACTTGGACACTGCACCTGTCCCTCCAGAGTGCAGGCCTCTGCATGGGCATGCAAGCTGTATGGATGTGCAGGGCACTGTGAATGAGCCTTAAAAGTGTATGGCCAGCATGAGGCAGGTGTCAACTTTTGCACTTGGGACCTTGCTTTCCGTGCTGAGCTAGTGTAGTTGTCTCTGGTAATGCATTTCATTTGTAGAGGCTTTTTTTTCTGGTTAGTAAGTGAAGTTCATCAAAGGACAGGAAGGCTTTGCGCTAGGAATAGGAGTGTCATCGTTATTGCCTTTTCTCGTTCAAGCTGTAGGACTGATCAAGAGAAATCGCTTCCTCATCCCGGCTAAACAGCATAGATGGACAAATCTTCCCTGTTGGCTATTGTAATTCTGATGGCGGGTGCCTACTTTAAGCAAAACTAAAAAAAAAAACAGTTTGTACA